GGGAGGGGCGGGGGCAGAGGAGGAGAAGGAGGAGGAGGAGGGTGGGGGCAGAGGCTCCCCGCGGCGGCGGCACAGCTGTGACAGCTTGAGGGATGCTCCGCCGCGCTCACAACAATGCGCTGTGACGTCACGCGGGGGAACCGCGCCCGCGCCCAACATCCCCACGGCGGCGGCGGCGGCGGCGCCCCCCGCCCCAGAGCGCGCCCGCCCCCCAAGCCTCGCGAGAGCGGGGCCGCGGGCCGGGGGCGGCGGCGAGGGGAGCGGGATGGCGGGCCGGCCGGCGCCGCCGCACTACAACTCCCGTGGTGCTCCGCGGCCGCTCCCCGGGGACTCGGCGCTGGGGGCGCTGCCGGGGCGGGGGCGGCGGTCGGAGGTGGTGGCGAGGGCGGCCTCCTCGGCCCCTTCTCCTCCCTCTCCGCCCTCTGCCCGCGCCGCGCCGCGTTCCGTAAAACCGGCTCGGCACACCGCCCGGCCCTCCCCCGGAGTGCGAGCTGCTCGCTGGCTCTTACTTACGGCTGGGGCAGCCCCCCGCCCCGGCGGTGCCGCCCGTGCCCTCCTCGCTTCGGCCGGACTCGGTGCGGGATTGCCGAACCAAAGGCAGCCCCGGGCGGGCCGGTGCCAGCGCGTAGGGACCCCGCGGTAGCGTTTCAGCTCCTTTTCTTGTCGGAACAGGAAAGAACATCTTGTTCCAGTGTGTAAACAAAGGGAGTTGATGTGCTGCGCTCGTAAAACCGCCGAAGGAGGTTTTCTTTAATTGGATGACCCAGGATTAAGATACCCACGAAATGCGGAGCGAAGGGACTTGGCACACCTTCCTGAGTTGCAGGATATTGTTATGCGGGTTTTTTCCCCCCCGTGTTTCCTCCCTTCGCTCAGATATTAAACTGCATTAGGAATATTATCGAAATACGTTAGGTATTTTTTGTTCGGATTGAAACGAGTTAGAAATTATTCAGGGTTTTCTGTATCCATCAATTCAGTGCCTGCTCCCCCTCCTTTGTCCTCTCAACAGCACCCGTGTAACGCCTTGCCTTATTCCTGTGGTAATGTTAAACCTTATTTCTCCGTAAATACCCAGCTTGGTGGGGGAAGAAGAATCACGCCCGACTACCACAATGCTTACTTAGCCTGTTTTATCAAGAAAAGGACCAGGGCAGCCCTGAGGACCTTCAGCCCCTCAAGGAAACAGAAGAACCTTATAGCATCCCCCAAAGACTCTAAACGAGCACTCACGTAGTCTGGTGTTTTGCCTCTTCCTCCTCATAGTTATATTTTATTGGGAAATAATGCATGGAAGATAGCACCTTTCCAGATTCCACGATTCACTCCCACATCTATAAAATATTATAAATATGAGCAAAACAAAATTCTATTAAAACAGCTACTTCTAAATTTAAGTTTTGCTTCTAGTCTGTATAGCATTAAGCAGAGGATTTAAGCATGTCTCAGAAATGTTCTTGAGAAAAATGTTGTTGCAACTGCAATGTTTCAGGCTTGACAGTGAGGTTGTGCAAAAATTTTTACAATCAGCCAATTGTCGAAAGAGGTACCTATTCCTTTGTTATTTACTGAATGCTGTCTTTGTCACCTTAGTAACATTTAGAAAGAAAATGCTTGCTGTTATTATCACTTCTCTGTGTTTTGTGGTTTTGACTTCATTTTCACGTTTTTATGTCTCTGTCCTACTTCAGTTTTTTTACCTTACCTTTAGTGACTTTGTATTCCAAATCATGCAGGTTTTATTCACATCTGATCCCCCATGCTAAAAGCCTAAGTCTGTAGTAATTGAGTATTTCATTACAGCTGCCTTTTAAATACCTTAATTGTTTTCAGTATTGAAAATACAACAAAATAAGAAAATGTAAGGACATTTATCAGTCATTGCCATCATAACTGGCTGTTGCAAGACAGAAGGAAATATTTTGCGCTAATTCCCATCTCTTCATAGGTAGGTGCTTCACGTATGTAACATGAACTTCTGTTATGAGACCTCTGGTGTTGCAGTGGTGGTGTTGGACAGAAAAGGACATTTGTAGGGAAAGAAGTTCAGTGAGCCCCTAAAGCTAATCTGACTGTGGATTTTTTGGTTGGTTTGGTTGGTTTCTAATATTGTCTGCAGTCAGACTTCATTTTGGTATTTCATGGATGCCAGAGTGATCTTTCTAGTTCTACATCTTTTCTATTACAATGGTTAAATGACAGTGTCATGCTGTCATTTAATTTATTTTCATCATTCTTACACCGTCCAGATGCTCCTAAGTCACACAATGGGTTGGATTGGAAAGGCCATAAAGATCATCTAACTCCAGCTACTCTGCCATGAGCAGGGACATTCCCATAAGACCAAGTTGCTCAATGCCCCATCCAACCTGTCCCTGAAAGTTCCTCCTGTTGTTCACATGAAAATGGTTGGGAATCATATAGTGACAGTGGTGCTGTCTTTGCTGGAGAAAGAAAATCTGTTATGCTGTTTGCTGTATTGGAGGACCCACTGGAGAATACCCACCAGAGCAGAGAGCTGGGGGGTACCATCTATGTTTCATGATGGAAAAAAAATGAGTAAACTGTACTCCTGAAATAGATTTTTTTTTTTTTCTGCAATAAATGTAGCTGAATCCAATAAAGTTTGCCAGCATACACAGACACAAAGTGCCTCAACAGAACAATACACTTCTGCTTTAAGGGAGTTAAAAATCATGTGTAAGTCTAGAAGCACAGCAGAAAAATGTCAAGTTCATCTTATGGAAGAAAGCATTTGCTATTGATTATAGCTACTATTTACTGCATGAATTGGACCTGACACTACAGGAGATCATAACTGTTGCTTCTCTAATTGAATTGGCAACAGGAAAATTGAGAAATGGTGAACTGCCTTCAAACTGCAACCATTGGAATTATGCCTAAAAGCTCAACATATATAACATGTATAAATGTATATATATACACAGGTGTGTAAATATTTACAGCATATTGTAAACCAGGTTGGATACCCTGCAAATACTGCAGAAAGCTGTTATATTAAATACATACTGAATTTTTACCTAAGCAATATTTATGTGATGTTACAGTACCAGATGTTGCTGCTTTGACCATGGATGGAATCAGTTGTTTATTATGGGTATATTTGTAACCAGTTGCATATTCTTACACCCATAGAGTGGTCAAATGATACTAAAATAACATTGGGAGCTGATATCTGAGCTTCAGTACCCAGTGAATGCATTTACCTGAACTGCTATAGAAGTTTTAGGCTTGACATTATGTAGTAGGCCACCTGAAGAACATTATTCTTGTTTCCTGCATTAAAAAATTACCTTTGATGTCTACTGCCAATTTTTATTCTTGTGTACAGCAAGACTCCTGTTAAGCAAAAATCTGTGACCTCCACTTCTTATGCGAGTGTTTATATATATATAAATATGCATTGCTTCAATACAGTGAAACACTGTTTCAATACAAATTCCAGTTTCAGCTCTTACAAAAGAGCTAGTATCAGCTGTTACATGAAAATGCCATATGTGTGCAGAATGATTTATTCACAGCATGACAATTCAATCTAATGTGCCTCTTCTACAATGGAAATTATATTCTCTACAATTGAACAAGAGATGCTGAGTTACAAGATAATTAAGAAAATATCCCAGAAGATACTAATGGAGTCACTGCATTTCCTAAATTAGTGTTAGCACAGTGGTGACAAAAAGCAAACCAGAAAATGAGGGTTTGTGTGGACTTAGGGGAAACCAAAGCCATTGGGATTGACAATTGACAGTTAACCATTTACAGATCCTGGTGTCATAGTTGTAGAGTGTGCTTTATCCTATTGATTTTAAAAATTCTTATTTTCCAGTATCCAGACAGTGTGAGCTTCACAGCATTTATTACAGTTAATGGAACTTTTTTAATCATACGCCATATGGACCTGAATCAACATCTCAAGTTTTTCAAATATGTTGCTAAGTCATAATAACAAGCTAAGAATCTAGTATTATCAGGATGATATTACTGTATTTGGACAGTCTCCTGAAGTTGATGAAAAAAACCAGATCCAATCGGCTGTATTTGATATGGGAGGGTGGAAGTTAAATTTTGCTAAATACTAACTCATATGCACAGAGTAATCTTTTCTTGAGCATGCCATCTCTTCTTTGAGATTGGTAGAGGTCATAGAATATGTGGAAGAGCTCACTCTTCCCCCCTCCCCCCCAAGAAAAAAAAAATCACAGCCATGTTTTTCATATTATGAATGTGCATTTATGTAATTTATGTAATATAAATTATGTACATTTATTCCTAACTGTGTGGAACTATTAATAACAGTGCACTGTAAAATCTAAAGTTTACCTGAGACCTATCCAACCATAGCAAATTTTCAAATAATAAAAGCTTTGACTGTAAATACCAAGGATTTATTCTGTTGGCTTTAGAGTTCACCACAATTGTCATTATTTTAGTCCCAGACCAGGAACAGGCAAATACTATAAATGTAAGGTTATTTCCTCTTCTCCCTTCTATAGCTCTCCAGCAGGCAGATAAACACTCAGGTCTTTCTTATGGCACTGCAACTGATCTAATGAACATGGTTGCAGCTTAGCTGTGGTCCACTTTGCCCTCCCAACATGTGAGAAGTGATACACCCAGCACAGAGAGCTTCCCAAGCAGTCACTTTCCAAACTACCTCCAGGCAGCATTTCCCTTGGCCATGCTGGCCATCATTTCTCGTACTACAGATATGGAACCACCCTTTCCCAAATCCACTGGGACAGTTTCTATGAGAAGACCGTTCTCTTTGAACAATGAACAGTTTACAAGTTGCCATAAAAATGTTGGAAAGAAAACGTTTCTTTGTACATACACAACAGAAGAGTAGAGAACCTGCCTCTGAGGCATTGCACTCCAACTGCATATAGATCACACCTCCTGGCAGTTCTGTAAACCTCAGAGGAGCAGGAAATGTCTGCAGATGGCTCACAAGATTACTTTCATTTTTACATGACGCAGTTTAGTCAAATCAAAACCAGAGTAGCTGATAGTTTATCTCATCTGCTCTTTTTTAGATGCTTATCTAGTTGATTATATGGAAGTTGCTGCATGGATTATAAATATGCAATTACAAGAGAAAAAAACTAAGACTGTTTACTTGTAGTGTCTGATTTAACAGAAATTACATATCTTCATATCTGGAAAGAGATTCCAGAATTTCAGATGCATGGATGCTATTCTAATACCATATGAATGATACCACAGAATGAACTTCACCTGCAAGATAGACATGTGATGAAATATCACCTCAAGTTATGTAGAATTTCAAGGAATTGTGAAGGTGTCCCAAAAGAATTATAGGCAAAATTTATGCAACATGCTCATGGTAAGTCTCAAGTTGTCACAACAAACCAATGATTGCAGGACAAGCACTGGTATCCAGAACCTGATATGAAGTACTGAAGCTTAACTTACCAAAATTAAGACAAGTGACTCATGCAGTACCCTTACAGCCTATCCCTTGCAATTTTTTTGGTGAATGACTGATACTATAGTCAATTTTGGCAATCGCATAATTTTTTTGCAATTATTCCAGCTATCTAGCTGTCTTTCTGTAATAGACAACCATAAAATGACCCAAGAAAGCATTTACATTG